ATCGCATCAGCTGTGCACTGACTAGGTTCACAAACAGTGTTTAATTTGGTAACAATGCCCGTCCATAAACCAACTACTTATTCTATTTGCCTATAAATAGCCACATTATAGTTTGCCCCATTATATGACTTACAATAGTTATTTCAGGGTTGTCAAACCTTTTAGCATTATTTTAAAACTGTTGATTGCAGTGAGTCAAAACAACAGCGGCATACACTCTATAGCAGTGGTTCCCAACCCTGGTCCTGGAGGAACCCCAACACTGCACATTTTGCATGTCTCCTTTCTCTGACACACCAGTTTCAGGTCTTGAAGTCTCTACTAATGAGCTGATGACCTGAATCAGGTGTGTTTGATTAAGGAGACATGCAAAACGTGCAGTGTTGGGATGCCTCCAGGACCAAGGTTGGGAACCACTGCTCTGTAGTACTTACCTGCTTATGAGACATATTTCTTGCATACCCGTCGTTTTTTCGTTATTAGTGTAGTTTTAATGTTTTAGTGACATTCGCACTGATGAAGTAATCATCTGTTATCATGATCACAGCGTTACGTCAAAACATCAGATTCATCCGCGCAGAGCAGCGGAGCCGAAGCACAACTCACACAATTATTCTTCCTCCGCAGGAAAGAAATTAAAAGAAATGGTAAAATTGCAAGAATTAGAAATACTTACATTTCTTGCACATTACATTTGTAGAATAAAGAAATGAGAGAATCCTGTCGGTGTGTTTCAACTTTATTTCAACTTTATATCTTTGCAGCTGCTAATTCCATGGAAAACTTCATTCACCACGGACAATCTGCCCTTATATTTCTTTTATTACATAGTTTGCATGTACAGTTTCTCTATATTCTTATTAGTATCTGTATATATATGTACATTTGAAATAACTCACATGAACACTAGTGAAATGGGACATTAAACAGAGTGATGGAGACATGCAGGCATGAATCTTGTAATTCAGTACAAAAGTGCAGTTTTATGAAGAAAGAAAGACAACGGTGGAGACAGAAACAGGGTCATCTACAAATGCTAAGAAATGAAGCCAGAAAAAGGTGAACAGAATCAGTGTTTTCACTCTTTTAAAGTCCAGATGAGTTTTGTGTGCAAGTGTAAAAATGGAGAAAATCCAGCATTCAGTAACTCCAGATTTGTGTAAATGCAGGCCAAACATTCAACTTCAGCCTCATTAAGAGCGAACAAACAATAATTAAACAGACACATATAAATGCAAAGTGCATATTAATAATGCTGTTCAACACAAAACAAAATAAAACATTAAAATTAATCATAATAATCCATACCCTGCCAGAAAGCAGGAACAGGATAAAGCAGGGGCACTCGAACAGTGTGTACAGCCCTCTTATTAGACAAAATACTTATATAAAATAGAATAATTATTATGAAAAGCAGATGTTAATTCTGAAAATTAATAAATACTATGGTGTAACAAGCAAGGATAGAAACCACTACTGATACGTAAATCTGAATTCCAGTTTGGGGGGAAAAATGTATTTTTTTATTTATTTTTTTAAAAGCACATTTTCAAACCGCCGCATTGCTTATATCAGTTTTAATACCACCTTTACCATCAGTTTTTATCAAAAACCTTTCAAAGTTTGAGAATTTAATCTTCTTCTCTATTTATCGATATAATAAATCACATTAGTTCAGGGCTGCATTTCCCAAAAGCATCGTAAGCATTGAAACCAATGGAGCTACGATCAACTTAGGCTTATGATGCTTTTGGGAAACGCAGCCCATATCGATATCTCCACATTCATATATTTATTACACATTCACACATCTCTTTGCTCGGTCCAGACCTGTTGGAATACACTCTCGTCAGTTTTATTGGTTCAGAAAACAATTAAAAGCCTTACAAGATTTCATTCGTGGACCACTGAAATGGAAAAAAAACATTCAGCAATGTGGATGAGAGCTTCTTCTGAAGATATAAATATGATTGGGCTGACAAGGATATTGTATTTCTCCCCTAAAATATAAGTATTTAATACAGCAAAAGAGATCGAGAAGCCTTTCTAAGTTTAGTGCATGCATGTGAAAAGATGCAACAACAGGCCTTGGCTTACACGTGGAAAACTTCCTACAAAAATAGCATCCTACGACACACTAGAGGGCAGTATTTGCTAAGGTATACATACACAGCAGCTGCATTCAGATTTTCTGTCATGCCAAAATGTCTTCAAAACACAAATAAAACGTCTGCCTCCACAAATAAAATCACTATTGGAATAAGTTCTATGCTCGTGTACCGTATGTGAATCGTGAATATTCTTGATCAGTGAGTTCTCCATTAGTTAGTAATGCACTACATGTGTGTCTGTACAGATTACAAAGATCGAGTCCTAAAGCACCATCAGTGTAACATGGATCGTGCTACTCTTAATGAATGCATGTGTTTTTTACGTCTCTAAGATAGGTTTAGACAGCGCTAGCACATTAACACTCATTCGTTACCAAAGGACTATTTGTTAAGCAAATCATTATGCAAATATTGTGTCTTTGAATCTTACAGTAAAGCAATGAGCACATCTTGAATTAATAGACTACACATTTTCATGCATGCATTGCCTACTTGAAAATGTCTTTTCTAGCGCATCACTACCGTCTCCGATCTGGTTTCCAATCCGAATACGTGTAGTGTGAACGCAGACTATTGAGGGAAATCACTGCACGTGGTTTTAGCAGCTGGGAGTGCAATATATGTCTAATGCTTTCTAGGTTTTAACACTTAACTACAGACTATAAGCATCTACACATTTCCCTCGTGTTTATAATATTATTCAACGCGATTTTTCTATAAATGGGTGAATAATAAGGATTGGGGAAGCAACATGCAGTAGGCTAATTGTAGTCTCCTTCGGGGTGAATGAGGCAGCAAGTAATTATTTTTTTACAATCAATACTGCAGCTCAAATACCTCTACACTGCTACTAAAAAAGGTCATACTATTACTTTTTTTTGCAGTGGAAGTAGCTTGAAGCCACAACAACTGGACCTCAAACCAAAAAGAGTTTGCAAGCAAAAAGTAAAAGCGACACAAACGCTCACAAACCCTAACACTGCTATTAAATGAACAAGATTTATATAAAAAAACGAAAATTAAATGGAAGGTAAACAATATGTTCAAATTCAATGCATCTGGCTACTTGGCCTCTTGACATACAGGCAAAATGTAAAGAAAAATATACAAATATTTATAATATCTTATACATAATCAGTGTTTTCTTTAAACAAACATTCCCGTGTGTCACCCTGGATACATAAAGAAAACCTTCAAGATGTTATTTGCCACGGTTTCAAATGGCTGCCAATATATTTCACACATTTACTTTCATCATGAACTGAAGCTAAACCAAACCAAAGAGCCGTAATATTTCTGGAGGTGTTTGAACAACATTCAACATCTAAAATATATCATCAACCAGCATTTGTCTTTGTCATTTTTTAAAGCTAGGGAAGTAACGGTTCACAGATTCTCAGTTTTAGGGCCAGTTTAATTTTGTGTACCATTTGGTTAAAAATAAATAAATAAATATGTTTGTATGTGTACATATATGTGTATATATATATATATATATATATATATATATATGTCTGTGTGTGTTTATTTTTTTTTGTAAGGGAAATTAAATAAATAAATAAATATTAGAACATACAGTAATCACTGAACATGCAGAATAGACCATACTTCTATTTACTACTACCACAAGAAAGTTGGTTCCCTTTCATGGGAACTTCGAACTGCGTCCTCTAGGGGTCGCTATGGGGACGCCTCGTCGTGACCCATGTGGCTGTCGCCGGCCAACGAGTTGGTGTTTTTTCAATGTATGCTTCAGACACGGGTCACGACGAGGTGTCCCCATAGCGACCCCTAGACGCAGTGTCTCGTTCCCTACTCAGGGAACCATGGTTACATAAGTAACCTGAGACGTTTTCTTTTCATGTTCTTAAGATTAGCATATAAATATGATAGAAAGAATAAACGAATACAAAAAAAAAAAAAGATCAATGGCCATCAGCTCATGCAAAGTGAAAATAATTTTGGACACTATCTCGGTCATATCATGGAATAATTGCTCCAAACCAGCGATTATTCAGCAGTGCAGCACATTCACAGCGTGAACAAACAGCCTACAGAGACTGAGAAATGAGCAAATGCTGCCTGCTGTAATCACAGCGTCTGTCTGCGCAGAAATCCTCAGCGCTCCCTACAGAGTGATTGAAACAATCAACAAATAATCAGAGATCATTCTGATCGCACAGCTCCATCCGCTTCGCCCACAACTGCGGTGCATGTTGTGTGGAAATAAATAAGAAAAAAAAATTAAAAATCTGTATAAAGGTTTTAACACTGTGTTGATGCATCTCAACCAGTTCAAAGGATTCTGTACAAGGTGCACCGTTACAGCTCTAGTTCAACATCATCTCATATGATCAATTGCACTTCAATGAGTGGAGCACAAACAAAAAAAAAAGTTTACATTATTATTAAATTAATACTTGTCTTCTAGAAGAAAAAAAAAGAAAAAACTTAAAGGAAACATGGAATCAGTAGCCAAATAAAAATAAATTAATAAAAATAAATAATAAATCAAAGGGACAACAAGATTATTTTTCTTTCCCCACTTATTGCTTTAAACATAAACCAGGGTTATTGTAGTTAACTAAAACTGAAGCACAAACTAAAACCATAACACATTTCCGTTACTTGACATAAAACAAAGGTTAAATAAAATATACAAGCTTTTTATTTTGGCTAGTTGGCAAGTCAACATTTCTAATTTTAATTTAGTTTAACTTGATGTACTAAAATAACTAAAACTACAATAAAGATTAATAAAAAAAAATACTCAAACTTTAAGTAAAATTAAAAATATACAAATAAAAACTGATTCAAAATGTGAATAAAAACTATACTAATTTCGCAATGATACTAAAATAACACTGGCATTCAAACATAAATGTATTCATTCAAGAAAACAAGACTTAATATCTCACATAATTCTCTTAAGAAATGTCCACTCTCAGTAAATTTAAGAATGCTCAGATATTTGCACTGGAAAACAAAACAAAGATGCTAAGTAAGAAATATTTTTTTTTTTAGAATATATCTTCATATATAATTAGTTACGGCCAAATATTTTTTGTTTTAAGAAAAGTCTAAGTGTATGCCTAATGAAGTTTGAGCTTAAAATTAGACGAAAAAAAAAAAAACAAGTAAAACTATTTTCTCTGAAAACGAGTTTTGCTTCTTAAGTACAGTTCAGTGATGTTCTTTAAGGATCTTTAGATATTTTACTGGAAAGCAAGACAAATATTAATATTAAAGCATGTTTTAAGTGTGTAAAACCCCATAAACACACAGGGTTTTAGATAAAGTGCGAAGGAGGCTGGGAACTCTGTCATAAGAAAAGAAATTACTACGGAGGTAAGTTAAAGTCAGCAGGAACGTGGTTTAGCTTCATGTGTGCGTAAATGAGACGTCAGACAGAGATGGGGCAGACGATGACCTTGTCCTCCAACAGGACGCTGACCACCAGGAAGACCATATAGAGCAGGAACATGATGAAGCCCAGCAGTTTGCTCATCTTCCACTTACAGGCGGCGATGGAGATGATGACGAAGAGGAGCATGATGAAGAGCAGCACGATGGCGCAGAACAGACCGTTGCTACTCACCTGAACCGGGCTCATACTGTTTATAATGGAGTACAGCAGCCATGGGAGCGGTAACCTGGGAAACAAAGAAACGCTGGACATTACAAATGCACAAAACTCAAGCTCTGATACAAACCCGAGTGAACTGCTTAATGCATAACACAGCACAATGAAATACGAAAATAGCATACTTTCAAAAAATATACTTGCATGCAAAATTAATGTATCGTTTTTAGACAACTGCATACACGTTCATTGCAATTTAATTAAAATAGTTTTAAATTGCTATTGAATGCAATTAGCTGAACTTTAGTGTTTTGACCCACTTAAGTAGGACTTAAGTACATCTTTATATGTGATTTCATAATTACTTCTGTTGTCTTTGAAATATGGTTAAAGTACTGTTAAATGTACTCACAAGCATTTATGATAAACTAAAACATACTTCGATGTAATTTCTATTGAAATGCTTGTCATATACTTAAATATATTTGTAATGATGCAAAGTTACACAATTTAATACCTTAAAATATATTAAACTATAAAATATATTAACTTTAAAATGTAAAAAAATGAATAAAACACTACAGTTTGCAGATAATCAGGAACTTCACAAGTGCTTTAGTATGTTAATCAATACATAAAAATAAGTGTACTTCATTAAAACACAATAAAAGCTTATTAAAACAATGATTTAAAATGTATGTTAAAGTAAACGTTTTAATTTGACATTACAGAGTGCACTCTGTTTACATGCTCACTAAATTAACATTTATTTAATTAAAAATACAGTAAAACTGTAAAAATGTGAAATATTATTTCAATTTAAAATAGCAGATTACTAAGTCAATATATTGTAAAATATAATTTATTTCTGTGATCAAAGCTGTATTTTCAGCATCATTACTCCAGTCTTCAGTGTCACATGATCTTCAGAAATCATTCTAATATGCTGATTTGCTGCTCAAGAAACATTTCTGATTATCATCAATGTTGAACACAGTTGTGCTGCCCAGTATTTTTGTCGAAACCATTATATATTTTATTTTTCAGGATTCACAGATGAATAGAAAATCCAAAACAACAGCATTTAATTGAATTTGCAACATTATAAACATCTTTACTGTCACCTTTGATCAATTTAATGCATGCATGCTGAAGAAAAGTATACATTTCTTAAATAGAAACACAAAGCGTACCCCACAGTAATGTCGAATATGTTGGAGCCCACGGAGCTGGACACTGCCATGTCTCCCAGACCCCTCCGGGCCACAATGACACTGGTGATCAGATCAGGGATGGAGGTTCCCGCCGCTAGAATCGTCAGTCCCATGATCTCCTCTGTGATTCCTATAGTCTCTCCAACCTGCAGAGATATTAGCACTAAACAATCAGAAAAAATGGCCTCAAATCACCATTGAGCTCAACATCAATAACACACTGCCAGTGGAAGATTATTTCTCAACTGTGTCGAGAATTTAAAAGACTCCATGACATCAAACAAACAAACAAACTGAACTTCGGAGTGTTCTTAACCCACTTAAGTAGGACTTAAGTATATCTTTATATGTAATTTCAGATTTTTTTTTTTTTAAATATGTGACCCTGTACCACAAAACCAGTCATAAGGGTCAATTTTTGGAAATTGAAAGTTATACATCATCTGAAAGCTGAATAAATAAGCTTTCCATTGATGTATGGTTTGTTAGGATAGGACATATTTGGTCGAGATACAACTATTTGAAAATCTGGAATCTGAGGGTGCAAAAAAATCTAAATATTGAGAAAATCACCTTTAAAGTTGTCCAAATGAAGTTCTTAGCAATGCATATTACTAATCAAAAATTAAGTTTTGATATATTTACGGTAGGAAATTTACAAAATATCTTCATGGAACATGATCTTTACTTAATATCCTAATGATTTTTGGCATAAAAGAAAAATGGATAATTTTGACCCATACAATGTATTGTTGGCTATTGCTACAAATATACCCCAGCGACTTAAGACTGCTTTTGTGCTCCAGGGTCACATATGGTTAAAGTACTGCTGAATGTACCGACAAGCATTTATGATAAACTAAAATATAATTTAATTTAATTTATATTTAAAGTTGCATTAAAATAGCAATTAAATGCTATTAACGTTACGGGTTTGGTTGTTGGGAGTAAAGCGTTCAATAGAGATGGGACGTTTGACACTGAGGCTCCGAAGCCTGGTTCGAAAGACTGTATCAAGGCTTGTATCAAATCTCCGTGATTACGTGACCACCTGAAACACCTGAAGCGAGGTGACTGATTCAAATCTTTGGCGTGGCTTCATTCATTATAAAGAGACACAAAATGCTTGGTGTTCCCTCCCTGGTTCATCGTAACACAGTAACACTTTCAGGTGTGGACAATGATTCTCAGAATGAAGACACAGCTGCTATTGCTGAGTATTGCTTTTGTGTTGAAACTGGAATCAACAAGATGTGTGAATCATTTGAAAGTGGCTGCTATAATTGCAGCTGTCCACTAGTGATGTTCGGTTCTTGAATGAATCGTACGGTGGCCGAGAGAGCTCAACGCGCTGTAACTTAAGGAAACACATGCAAATTGAAAAAACACCAGCAAATTATGAAAACATCTTCATCAGTTTGACAACACACGCGCTGCAAATCCTCACAACACATGCAAATGAAGAAACGCGCTGCAAATCCTCACAACACATGCAAATGAAGAAACGCGCTGCAAATCCTCACAACACATGCAAATGAAGAAACGCGCTGCAAATCCTCACAACACATGCAAATGAAGAAACGCGCTGCAAATCCTCACAACACATGCAAATGAAGAAACGCGCTGCAAATCCTCACAACACATGCAAATGAAGAAACGGCGCGTGTGTTGTCAAACTGATGAAGATGTTTTCTTAATTTGCTGGTGTTTTTTCAATTTGCATGTGTTTTCTTAAGTTACAGCGCGTTGAGCTCTCTCGGCCACCGTAGAATCGTTCTTTTGAGCCAGTTCTCAGGAAGTCACCGGTCGAGCCGGTTCACAAAATCGAACTGAATCGAACTTTAGTTCGAGTTGACGGTACTGTGCAAGCCTGAGGCGCGTACTGGAAATAAGCTTATTATGACTGTTATTAATTTACATTTTATTAAAACCTGCAAAAACCTTTCTGTCGAGTGATGTAAATACATTTTACTATAGTTTATTGTGAATGCATATTATATTTAAAGTTGCTTAAGCGAAATCAAGGAGTTTATAAGACTGGTTTATTCATTCTTTATACTGTAGACATGTAGAACATATCCGCGTTTGTGCATCAATGTCTGTAATGTGTGCTGTAGGTGTGAAACTTTTAGGAATCTTATCCAAATTGTAGGCTAGTCAATATTGGTCATCATGAGGATCCGCGAATGAAACTGACCACAAACACCATTAACTTAAGTGAATTATATGGCAAAAATCAGCAATATGCTTTCACACAAATAACTTTATTTTTTGAATGTTTCAATATGCGTTGACACAAATGACTTATTTGAATGTTTCATTGATACAACATTGTTGTTAGTTGTTAGAAAAGAAATGCGTAGAGACGTTGTTTGTTGATGACGTCAGGAACCGATGAATCGGCTTTTTGAACCGGTTCAATGAGCCGATCTGTCCGAAAAGGACCGGTTCACGGAAATGAATCGGACTTTGCATCACTAGAAGGAGAACAGACTTTAATGCAAAAGCCACAGGAACACATGGAAATCAGCTGAACATAAAGGTAAACCAAGACGGACAGCGACTAGAAGGAAACTAAGAGTATTTAAACACTGGGGCGAATGCGATAATTAACAAGACACAGGTGAATAGAATGACATAATCAGGCAACACAGGAAAACTAGGTCACAATGGAAAGGAAAAAATACACGGAAACGTCTCAGGTTACTTATGTAACCATGGTTCCCTGAGTAGGGAACAAGACATACATGTGACAATTAAACATATGCAATAATGAAGTTGCAAATTATTGCATTTAAAATATATTAACTTTAAATATAATATCGAATAACACAGTTAAAATAAAGTTATTTACATGTGCTTTAGTCTGTTAGTCAACATATTAAAATAAGTGTACTTCTTAAAGCATAATGAATAAAAATGCACTTTAAAGGGAAACTTTTAATTTGACATTATTACAAAGGTTGATTTTTAAAAGTGTACTTAAGTGTGTTCAGAAACAGTCATGAAAGTGTCTCTCTTTAAGTCACTTAAATGGCTTATTATCTGCAAGTAGCCTTTTTTAATATAAGCTATTTCTTTTAAAAAAAATTGAAGTACAATATAAGTGCACATTTGATACCATTAAGCGAACTTTTCACAAGGCTTTGTCAAAAAATAAATAAATAATCATCTTCAACAAATGGATAACCAAGTCCAGATGTTCTGAATAAAGATCTTACCTGATGAGCCCACCACACCATCAGGTAGGAGAATCCCGCGATCCAGCAAATCGCTCCCAGGAACGTAATGGGAAAAAACTTCTTGGAACTCTGAAGAAAAACAGAGAATCAGAAGAGAATCATCTCATGGTTAATCACAGTTCTCAAATCTGCATCAAACACTGGTCAGACAGAAACTCACGGCCTTCCGGACGTCCGGCAGTGTCATCCACAGAGGGAAGACTATGGGCAGGATCAAGAGATACGTGAGGCGCTTGCGTTTGGACTCGGGCCACGACAGGCTCAGAGGCTGATCTTCCTCATCATCCTCTTCACCCTGATCAGAGAGAATGTGTGAGATGTGAACATTTCCAATTATCTCACAAACCGCTCCGACACATTAGACTGGGCTCCTGTTTCTCCAATTAAAGCTTGTGTAAATCCTGCGGGATGGAGGGGCTTTTGTCAGAACATGCCATATTTAAATGCAGCCATAAACCAGGGTTATTATTGTCAAATAAAACTAAAACCATTCAAAAAAAAATCATTGCTTAAAATAAACATGAACTGAAATAAAATAAAATATTTGATTTTATTATTTTTTAATTTACTTAAATGTTTATTTTAGCTAAAGTTTTAGTAATTTTGTCACGTGTTGACATTTTTTTTGTTTTTTTAATATTATTTTTGTTATTTGTATCATATATATACATATATA